GGGGATAAGGATGAGCCAGCACTGCTCCAGGCACCCTGTCACCTCCAGCCTCCCCTTCCTTGTCCCCCGTGCCTCAGTTTCCTTCTGTGTGCACCGTCAAGGTTTACAGACAGCAAGGTCTCAGCTGCTCACTGGCACTAAGAGGATGTGTGGGGGTCCAAGTGGAGGGGTGGGTGCCCATGGCTGTTTTCTATCAATCTTGATGCCAAAACGGAGCGGTTTTTCCTCATTGGGATTGCACTGTGGTGGGAGCCTCTTGCCTGTCCTCCCTGCCAGCAGAGGGGAAGCAGGGGCTCTTTATCCTCTGGATTTATCAGAGCCTGGCCAGTCTTGTGTCAACCCTTAATTTACTGGAAATTCCCAAAGATGAGGTGTTGGAGAACGGAGCTATTCAGTGGTGGAGACTGGCCACAGCATCCCTGCTTGGGATCTAAGCTTGGGGACCCCCCACCTGTGCTTCCCCCCAATCCCCATTTTGTGGGTGCTCAGCACTGTGTCCCTCCCTGGGGTGGGGGGAGCAGGAGTGGTTTGGGCCCCCCAGGCAGTGCTGGCTCGGCCGAGCAGAGCTCCCTGCTCTGTGCTGACATTGCCATCCCGGGGCATGAAGGGCATTGCTGCGGGAGATGAAATAGCTGCCTTATCTCCTGGCGCAGCACCCAGCATGACCTCCTTGCCTTGTCCCCTCTCAGGCTGTCACCTCTCCTGCCAGGGCACCCGTGGATGCCACAGCTTGGCTCCTCCAAGTCCCCATTCAGATTGATCCCATCCAAGCCCGGCCTGGGTCCTCTCACACTCCCATAAACCGGGAGAAAATCACTGCTTGGGGGGTGCAGGAGTGGGGGCACAGGAGCCTGGGTGCTGCCTCCATGTCCCTAAAACACATCCCTTCTGGAGGCACAGGGAAAGGTGTGATGATAAATCACATCAACGGCTCTAACCAATGACCTCCCTGACACTCAACACGTTTCCCCGGAGCTCTGGCGGTTGAGAATATTGTTGTAACATCTAGCTCCCTTAAAAAAAAAAAAAAATTAAAAAATTTAAAAAATAAATAACATTAGCCAGGCAGTTGGCAGATTGCTGGAGACACTTGGATTCTCTGCGGGAAACCGCTCGGCAGTGGGAGTTTGGTTGCTGCAGTTTAGTGGCAGGAGTTCTTGCCTGGAATGTCAGATCATTACCCGAGGATCTGAGGCGTTGCTGCCTTGGGAGCCTGCAGGGAGCTGGGGGTCCTTCCTTCCTGCTCCTAACATGAGGGGGCTGTTTTGTTTCCTGTGTGTGAACGCTGTTAGTGCTGCATGAGAGTGTGACACGAGTGGCAGGGGACGGTCCCAGACCTCCCCGACACCCGGCAGGGGTTTGTCTGCACTGGAGCTGGGGCTGGAGGTGGGATCAAGGCTCTGGGTGTTAGGAGAAGTTTGGAGTTTGGGAAGGGAAGGGAAGGGGAAGGGGAAGGGGAAGAGGAAGGGGAAAGATGAGCAGGAAGGAAGGGAGAAAGGAAGAAACAGAGCAAGAAAGGAGGGAAGAGAGGAGGGAAGGGGGGAAGGTGGGTGGATGGTGGTGACTGTCGTCCCAGGGAGGGCAGCGCTGCCTCTGCAGTCACCCGGGCATGTCTGCCCTCCCAGCACAGTTAATCCAGACCCCAGCTAATCCTCTCGCAGGTCACTGGGAGCTCATTGCGTTTTGTTCACTTCTCAAATGCATCCAGAATTAATTAAAAAAAAAACAAACAAACCCAACAGCAAATTCATCCGATGGCAAAAGCATTCTGTGCATCTCCCAGGGGCAAAACAGAGGGGTGCTGGAGAAGGAGCCTTTTCTGGTTCCAAATGCTCAACTTTTTTTTAAAAAATAGAAGCAAGAATGTATCTTAAGGAATGTAGCTGGTGTGATGAGAAGAAAGACTCAGGATGGCTGAGCAGGCTGGGGTTTGCCAACGTGTCTGCAGCCAGCCTGACCAGTCAGCTCCACGAGGCCACTTTGGTCCCCTTTGACTTTCAGGGATTATGAGGCTGTAAATATTCACTGTTCATATTAACTGTTCCTGCCTATTTTGTGCTTCCCCGTGGCTGTAATGAGGGAGAGAATCTTGTACCGACTGCTCGAGCTGGTGGGAACAGCCTCCTGCTCTACTAATGAGTAACTGTGGTGCTTGAAGAAATCAGCTTTGGGGTAAAAAAGGGTTGTGCCTGGATTGCAGCAGGTGGAAATATGTGATTTGGTGTCTAAGATGGTGCCACATGTGGGTCTGGGAGGTCCGGGAAGGTTCTTAGTGCTCCTGCTTGTGGTGCTGGGATTCTGCAGGGAACCCCCAAGTCCCCAGGCTGGATCTGGGGAGAATTTTAGGAAAAACAACCCAGGGTTTGCTGCACCTGACAACGCTCTGTGATGCTGGTGGGGTGGTCTGGGCCACCATGTCATGGAAAGGGTGTTCTTGTCCCAGTGTGTCCCCGGGGGCTGGAGCTGATTGCAGGGATTGACCACATCGATGGGGCCAGTGGATCCAACACAGCACGTCCCGGGCATGAGCTGGGCACCTCTACCCTGGGCGTGTGGGATGTGCTGGAGGCTCTGCACCCACTCCCCCACCATATTGCTGCCCCATGTGGGTCCCAGCAAGAGTGTTCCATCCCCAGTGCCACTAAAGAAATGGACGAGCTGTGGCAGGTGGTTTGGGAAGTGTTCCTGCTGTGGATCACAGCGTCACAGAATGGTTCAGGTTGGAAGGGACACCTCCCACCAGACCAGGTTGCTCAAAGTCCCGTCCAACCTGGCCTTGAACACTTCCAGGGATGGGGCATCCCTGGGATCTCTTTAGGGTGCTTGGGACGTGCTACTTGGCTTCTCCACAATCTTACCCACTGCCTGAAGCAGCCCCAGGTCTCATCACAGAGGCATCGAGGAGCCCAACTGACTTGAGCCACCTTACCCGTGTCCATGCTGCTTCTGCCTCTCTCCCAGGCAAAGCTGAGGGTGGGTCCCTGACCCTGAAGCTGAACCCTCCAGATGGGACCAAAGCAGCTCCCCATTCCCCAGTGACAGTTGCCGCTTCATAAGATGTGGCCAGCAAAACCCATCTGTGACCGTAGATGGCTCCATGTCCCAATGGATGTGTTGGGAAAGCTGCTCCTCGGTCTGGGCCACCATGTCATGGAAAGGGTGTTCTTGTCCCAGTGTGTCCCCGGGGGCTGGAGCTGATTGCAGGGATTGACCACATCGATGGGGCCAGTGGATCCAACACAGCACGTCCCGGGCATGAGCTGGGCACCTCTACCCTGGGCGTGTGGGATGTGCTGGAGGCTCTGCACCCACTCCCCCACCATATTGCTGCCCCATGTGGGTCCCAGCAAGAGTGTTCCATCCCCAGTGCCACTAAAGAAATGGATGAGCTGTGGCAGGTGGTTTGGGAAGTGTTCCTGCTGTGGATCACAGCGTCACAGAATGGTTCAGGTTGGAAGGGACACCTCCCACCAGACCAGGTTGCTCAAAGTCCCGTCCAACCTGGCCTTGAACACTTCCAGGGATGGGGCATCCCTGGGATCTCTTTAGGGTGCTTGGGACGTGCTACTTGGCTTCTCCACAATCTTACCCACTGCCTGAAGCAGCCCCAGGTCTCATCACAGAGGCATCGAGGAGCCCAACTGACTTGAGCCACCTTACCCGTGTCCATGCTGCTTCTGCCTCTCTCCCAGGCAAAGCTGAGGGTGGGTCCCTGACCCTGAAGCTGAACCCTCCAGATGGGACCAAAGCAGCTCCCCATTCCCCAGTGACAGTTGCCGCTTCATAAGATGTGGCCAGCAAAACCCATCTGTGACCGTAGATGGCTCCATGTCCCAATGGATGTGTTGGGAAAGCTGCTCCTCGGGACATCTGCCCTGCGCAAGTGCCTTCCCTGGGCCTTCTCCAGCTGGCTGCCTGTTGGCCATGTCCTCTCCCACCCTGGCCTGGGGGAGGGAGGTTAAATCCACATCTCCCTGTGGTTTTCCTTGACCCCAGAGGAGCTGGTGCTGGGGTGGGGCGAGTGCTGTGCTGGGCAGGGATCCATCTGGCACGGGCAACGGGAGCTGAAGAAGCCACTTGTGGGCGTACCTTGATTAATATCCCTGTGCTGAGGAGACCAGCTTGGCCTTGTTGCTTTCCTCTCCAGCAGCCCTACCCTGTTCTGACAGCTGAGCTCACGAGAGACGACTCCAGTGCTGACCCAAGTTTTTTCATCTGTGGGTCCCATCTCATAGAATCACACAGAATCATAGAATGGTTCGGGTTGAAAGGGACCTTAAAGATCATCTAGTTCCACCCTCTCTGCCTTGGGCAGGGACACCTCCCACCAGAGCGGGTTGCTCCAAGCCCCATCCAACCTGCCCTTGAACACTTCCAGGGATGAGACATCCACCACCTCCCTGGGCAACCTGTTCCAGTGTCTCACCACCCTCACACTAAGGAATTTCTTCCTAATGCCTGACCTAAATCTCCTCTCTTTCTGTTTAAAACCATTCCTCCTTGTCCTTTCACTACCAGCCCTTGTAAAGAATCCCTCCTCAGCATTTCTGTAGCCCCTTCAGGTATTGGAAGGCCACCATAAGGTCTCCCCAGCAAGGTTTGCTCAAAAGCCTCTTCCCCCTCTGGGACAGGTGCATATCATAGTATGGAAGAACAAACTCTAAGATGTCTTCCTTCCTCCTGTGTGATTTTTGGGAACAGCCTAGCCATAAGGGGGAGATTTAGAACCCTGCAGGTGGTTCTTGTTCAACATGCACCTACCCACCCCATCAGACCCATGGCCAAACAGCCCCTTGGGTCCCGTTGCTGCGGTAACGGCCGTGTCTTTGTTTTCTCATTGCAGAACCTCTCACGGGATCTGCGTGGTGATCTGCAGCCAGGACGTGGAAGATTGGGACTTCTCTTCCACTGCAAGAGAATTTGGGGGGAGGGCAGGGGTGGGCCAGGGGGACCCCAGGAGTCAGAAGACCCTTCACCTTCACTGTGGGCTTGGCTCAGGGATGACCACAGGTAGAGTCAACCCTTACAGCATCGTGTCCTCCGAGGAAGACGGGCTGAGGTTGACCACCATGCCAGGTATCAACGGCTTTGGCAATGGGAAAATCCACACCAGGAGGAAATGCAGGAACAGATTTGTAAAGAAGAACGGTCAGTGCAACGTGGAGTTCACCAACATGGATGACAAGCCCCAGAGGTACATTGCAGACATGTTCACCACATGTGTTGACATCCGCTGGAGGTATATGCTCTTGCTCTTTTCCCTGGCATTTCTGGTGTCCTGGTTACTGTTTGGACTGATTTTCTGGCTAATTGCACTCATTCACGGAGACCTAGAAAACCCAGGTGGAGATGATACCTTCAAACCTTGTGTTCTGCAGGTCAATGGCTTTGTGGCTGCTTTTCTGTTCTCCATTGAGACCCAAACAACTATTGGTTACGGCTTCCGCTGCGTGACGGAGGAGTGTCCAATCGCCGTCTTCATGGTGGTGGTTCAGTCCATCGTGGGCTGCATAATTGACTCATTCATGATTGGTGCAATAATGGCAAAGATGGCCAGGCCCAAAAAACGGGCCCAGACATTACTTTTCAGCCATAATGCAGTAGTGGCAATGAGAGATGGGAAACTCTGCCTGATGTGGAGAGTTGGGAACCTCCGCAAAAGCCACATAGTAGAAGCTCATGTACGAGCTCAGCTAATTAAGCCCAGGATCACAGAAGAAGGGGAGTACATCCCGCTTGACCAAATAGACATCGACGTGGGCTTTGATAAAGGCTTGGACCGTATCTTCTTGGTGTCTCCCATCACCATTCTCCACGAGATCAATGAAGACAGCCCTTTGTTTGGGATCAGCCGCCAGGACTTAGAGACGGATGACTTTGAGATTGTGGTCATCCTGGAAGGCATGGTAGAAGCCACAGCCATGACGACACAAGCTCGGAGCTCCTACCTGGCCAGTGAGATCCTCTGGGGCCACCGCTTTGAGCCCGTCTTGTTCGAGGAGAAAAACCAGTACAAAGTAGACTATTCCCACTTCCATAAAACCTACGAGGTCCCTTCCACCCCCCGCTGCAGCGCCAAGGACTTGGTGGAGAACAAATTCCTGCTCAACTCCTTCTGCTATGAGAACGAGCTGGCCTTCATGAGCCGTGATGAGGAAGAGGAAGACGACGACAGCCGGGGCTTGGAGGACCTGAGCCCGGACAACCGGCACGAGTTCGACCGGCGTCAAGCCACGTTAGCGTTGGATCAGCGGTCGTACAGGAGGGAGTCGGAAATATGACACTTGGTCCTTCCATTGACTTTTCCGAGGGTATTTTTGTTCCTCCTCTAATCTCTTCCCCTACAACCCGCTCCGATTATGCAGAACAATGCAAGTGCCATAGGAATGCTTGAGAAATTTAGTGTCGTTCGTAGTTTTCCGTTTCATCGCAATAAGCAGCGAGCGGTCGGCAGGAGGGGGCGGCGGCTGCGGCGCCCGCCGGGGGCGG